ATAATAATAATAATAATAATAATAATAATAATAATAATAATAATAATGATAAAAAATATTTATGTATTTTAAAGATATATTTTGTGAGAATTCACATAGTGGACAATAATAATATTACTTTTATATTATTCACAATATAGTTGAAAGTCAAAACTGTTGAAATACTAGTATTCATGGTTATCATTTTGGAAATCACAGAATCCATTTTCAAAAACAGTGAGACTTTGATAGAAACATAAATAGCCATGAATACCAGTGTTAATAACAGGTTACATATTAAAACAATTTATCTCAAATATTAATTTATAATGTTTATATTACATACATTTTTTCAATAAAAAAATTTTTTATATTAGATTATGTTTTGTTTTATATATATGCTACATGTAAATTAAAGTTTACAGGCTAAGTCATAATAGTCATTATATTAGGTTGGAAATAATTATCACAAAAAAATGTTCAATAAACGCTAAACACCTGGAGTTTTTCTTCTACACCTAATGAACACCGAATAGATGAAATTCTCATTTTGCATTATTTACTAGTATATAACTTCGTAAACAGTTGCTTTCTTATCTCCAGAACCAGTTACAATATATTTGTCATCGGCTGATATGTCACAGCTCAGCACAGAAGAAGATTCTTTAGACTAAAAGCAAACAGACGACATAAGTTAGTCTAAAATTACAAAAATTAATCAATTACACAAATGAAAATGTTACTCACTTGGAATATAGAAGCGCCATACGGTGTGCGCCATGCATTAAGTAAATTGTCTTTGCCCGTTGACACAAACCATTTACCACAGGTTGCAAAACGTAAGGATAAAACGCAAGATTCGTGTAGATGTAGCTGGTATTTATCTGGTTTTAGAGCATGTAATACTTCTACATTGGAATTCTCCATACCAACGGCTAACCATTCTCCAGTTGGACAATATCCCAAAGAAAATATCTAAAGGAAATATATATGTTCAATGTTAAGAACATAGAAACAGGGGAAAACTTAAAAAACATAAATATGGCCACTTTAACATACCTGAGACGAGAAATCGTGTTGTTGTAGCTGTCGACCTTCTCTCAAATCCCAAGAGCGAACAGTGTTGTCCAGACCTCCTGTCCACAATTTGGAACCGTCCGAAGAGATGTCTATGCATGACGCTCCGTCTGTATGCCCTTGGAACTGTCTTACCAAAGTCTGGTTGTGTAAATCCCATACTGCTATGTTACCATCCGAACAACAACTAAAGCAAACCTGAAATATACATACATCATTATCCGTCTATCTTGACCGTGTCAGGTTTGCTAAACCATCGCATTACACATATAGCGTTTCCGTTAATATTATGGCAAGCATACCTTTGAATCTGGACTAATAGCTAATGCGTAACACGCAGGCGCACTAGATGTTAGCTCAGCTTTTATTCTCGGTGTCGGCGAGGCTAGATCCCATATACTCAAATTACTTGCTTCTCCGCCGACAATAAGCGTCCGGCCATCCGGCAGAAGTTTTACAGATCTTATATAGTTATCACGTTGCTATATGTGAAAAATAAATAAAATTACATAAATAACCTGATCCGTATATTTGCGTCGTACTACTAGTGTCGTAAAAAGTTTAGCTGGTAACAGCGCTTCTGCATAACTTTATATTATATACGTACCAAACAGTCTAGTTGAGATACGGGTGACTTGGATCCGGGTTGACTGATGTCCCACACTTTGACGCAGCCCTTTCCGCCGGTATACACGTACTTGGTGGGGTTGCTGATGGTCACAGCGCACACGACTTCACCGTGCCCAAGAGTGTTGATTTGACGGGCGTGTCTAGGGATGCCAGGACCCATCAGAGCATCGGGCGGAAAAGGCACGGGTTGCATTTGGCCTTCAGCGCTGACGTGAAACGAATAAGCTCTAAAAATAAACAAATCGAAAAAACCGTTTATAACGATACATGACAGTAATATCGACGATGATTACTACTATGAACAGGAGTGTATATAATAGAGTTAGAGCATAGAAAACTTACGGTTTTCCGCCAGGAATTCCCAGTCCCGGTCCGAGCGGTGCTCTCATTTGTGTATGAGGATCGTAACCGACCTGTAAAAAAGAAAATTAAAATTATAAAAATATTATTACCATAATTATATATGAGTTATTTAAACTCACCAACGCCGGTCTCGGGTAACTGTTCAAACCGGCCGCCGGTGGCAAATTATTGTGCAAAGCGCCGTAAGCGCCGGCAGCTACTGCGGCCGCCTGAAGATCATGTGGATTTGCACCGCCTGCCAGGTAATGCGGGTATTGTGCTGAAAAGGAGAACGACGCCCGTTAATCACAAATGCTGATCAAATGTTAAATTTGACGTGTGTCATCGGCCCCAAATCGCACTTACCTAAGGAAGGTCCTTTAACCATGGGTTTCATCGAGGAACCGGCGGCTCCGCTGCAACCACTGCCACCGCTTGTCGGAGTGATTGACTTCGATATTGGCGTGCTGGGTTTGTCTTCTAATTTCTTTGTGGATGGAGTGCTTGCATTGGACGAAGTCCCACTTCGTGGACTAAAGAAAAAACGATAAATAAAAAAAATAATATGATAAATTTATACGTAAGGTATATTATAATATGTGAGGTACGTATGAATTACAATATATACCTATGTGGTCCAATATTGTGTTCTTTTTTGGGTTGTAACTTGTCAATTCCGTTTTCTCTAGGTGAAGCTGTACCATTAAGCGGCGAGACAGGGTCCTGTAAAACGGAATATTACATTATGTTAATACGAGTAACATTATTCTACTATCATGAAGTATCATTTATATCATATTAAAACATGGCAGTGGCAGGTATAATCTTATTATCTCCTATTTTAAACCTGACAAATAATTAACTGTTACTTCTTCAAAAGCTTAAAAACATGTGTACCGGTTTGAATTTAATATATAAATGTATTTTTAATAAAAACACAACAATAACAAATTTTAAAGTTGTATGTAATACTTATACCTAAAGTATGTCAAATCTTTGTAAATAAATAATATACATTTAAAATACAAGACTATAGATAATGATAAGTACAGTTACAAAATAATATTATTTTAAAATTTATATGACAATAATTTATTTCGAAACAGCTTTTGAGATACTAATTTCATATAGGTGTATTTTTTATTTTTATCCTGCCGAAGAAGTCACTTAAGGCGTATATTGGGAGGAGTAATCGATATTATAACATACCTCACTGGCATCGTCAACAACCAATTCTTGATCGCTTTTTTCCCCATCACTCGCCTGTAAACGAAAAAAAAACGATTTAATAAAATGGAAGAGGTGTATATGATGTGTAAATGTTCGGATATAAAAGCTTAACGTTTGAGGAAAGTTTGGAAAAATGTTATATCGTCATGTTACATGCATGTGGTGAACGTACGTGAGACTCGTATACGAACAAAACTTACGTGACAATCTTTTTCTTCTTTTTTCACTTTCTTATGTGGTTCAATATCCGGAGAGCTCCTGACGCGAAATTTCTCCCTTTCTGCAGGTGATATGGAACTTCTCTGTGTACACAAAAGAAAAAAAATATCGTAAGAATAGAAAATAAATAAAAACAAAAAATGAAATAAAAATACGTTAATCAAACATTCGCAGAGCATTTTATTGTTGTATTCAGCAAAAAAAAAAAAAAAGATATTTATACACGCACACGCGCGCGCGCGGGCGTACCTATCTTTTTTCTCTCTAATTCAGTTACTATTCATATACTGATTTTGGCGCTTGTTAAAAAAAAACAGGGTAACCAAATATTTGAATGGGATGTATAAATATATAACTTATGTTTTTTTTCCGTCGTGTGTCGAGGGTAGTAGGTATGCGTGTACATATGGGGAAAGTAGAACATTTGTTGAAGTGAATACGAGGAGTCGGGAAAGGGCGACGGCGACGGGAAATAAATAACGTGTCATAAAAAAAAAAAAAAAGAGTAGAAAAAACATGTGGCACATTGGTCGTTTTTCGCCTCAGACCCCCCGCGGTATACATACGCGCGCACACAAAGACTCGCATGCATACCCTAAGGACCCAATAAAAACAACCCCGCTTCCCCTGCGCATACAAGATAGTTAATCCAATTCCCAAGAGCCATAAAACCCCCCAATACCACAGTTATGTGTGCATGCGTGCGTGTATGTGTGTGTATGTATATATGTATGTGTGTGTATATATATATATATATACGACTTTAACGATGAGGAGAGGGTGAAATAAAATAAACCGCTTGCGTTCATCGGCAACGACGAGAGCAAAAAAATAGAGTAAATTCCCTGGGGGTGTTAGAAGGCCAGTTGCCGGGTGTGGTGTTAATTGCTTAGCCCGCGTTGAATCCGGGGCAAGAATATCTCCGGGTTATACGACAGTTAATTTATCGTGGCACATTCAACTACGTTAAATTTCGTTAAATTGAAACATTTTACAGGCGGTTCACCGCCCTTAATCGAGTTTTACAAATACACACACAAATACATATATATGTATATTTATTTACACATGTATTTGTTACGGCATAACACACATACATACAACGTTGAAATTCGTTTTTAATGAATACGAAATAAGGGTAATAAAAAAAAAAAAAAATCGATCGAGAAAACATTATCATATTATTTTGAGTCTATTTCTCATGAGGTCTGAGATTTTTATTTTATCTCTTAGTGAGCAACACAATTAAAAATGAATTTCCTTCAATCAAAAAAAAAAAAAAAAAGAAGACTTTTTTAAGTGTATTTAAATACATGACAACAAGGAATAAGTTTCAAACAGTACTGCTTTATACGTACTATAATGTACGAATGTATAATATATGAGTATATATACATTTATGTATATATTACATATAACACTCACTTAACTCTGGAGACGGTCTCCGTTACAGTAAATTAAGCACATGAAAGTTTTAACAAATTTCAATTATGAATATAGTTTTACAAATTATTCGAGCTCCTAATGACGCCGATGCTAATAAAAATTGAACTTTAATCGAGAAGCATATATAGTTTTTAAGTTTTCCCCGCCATGTCTTACATAAAACACTGGCTTTTGAGATTTAAGCAGAATTTAATTAATCATCGAAAAAAAATCGTATATATATCAAATACAAATTAAAATTAGAACTTTTTAATAATTATGGTCCGACTATCATGTTTATGCACCAATACCCCGTTCAAACACAAAATCTAATGCGATAAAATAATGAATGAGAAAAAAATCTAATCCCCTTTTTATCGATATCATAATACGTGGTGTATTGAATACACACTACGAGCAAATATAATTATAATAAAACGGTCGTTTAAAAAGTACGTACATACAGTAACGTAATTAGGAGGGAGATTAACGAATTAAATCCCCTCATAATGTCTCTCTCGTTTTATAAAATATACAATAATTTTAAGATATAGGGACAATGTTATCATGTCGCCATTAAACAATTTTCAGTTTCAATAACCTTAATAATAACACATTTTATATTTAACTTATGTTTAATCGACTTATTACAATTAAAAAGTTGATATTAACGTTGGTATACTTCTATAGAAGATAATTTAAAATTTAAAACACCCCAAAATAATTGTTTAGCTACACCACTGTGTACATACAATAAGCTATTCGAAATTTATCGGGTTAAAGGCGCACACATATTCGTATAGTTCACGATTTTAAACATATAATATTTGATACGACGGAAGAAAATATCGAAGAGAAATTTTCTACGATAAAAACGAGTATGGATGCTATATTAAGGCGGCCGCGAAGCCGACTTACATCGTTTATACGTTGTGATTGTGAAGCAAAAGGAATCGTCACCGCGACCGCACTAAGGTACGGGGTGTGTGGCAGAAGGGTAGCGGTGCGCATGTGTCTGCGTTATATAACTTTCGAGACAATTGACTGTACGCGAGGATGAAGCATGGTGGTAAGGGCGGTTGAGAAAGCTTTTACCGTTAGCAGCTAGTGAAAACGTGAGCAAAGGATGAGAACAGGAGGAGTGTAGGAGTGTGACGAGGTAGTTGTCGGCTGAGGCAGTGGCAGAGACGGTACTCGGTTTAAACTTCATCGAGAACTAATCGACCGTGTGTAATGCGCACCTCCTCCTCCGAGCCCTGCAGGTCGAAGAAGGATAAACTCGCATAACACACACACACACACACACACACACATACATACATACATACATACATTCAAAAGCGGAAGGATGAAGGGGCGCGACAGCGATGGCAGCTTTAATTCATTCATTTGCAAACTTGTAATCGACTCACGTCGTCATCGTACCAACACTATACTACCACCGCATCAGCAACTGTGGCATTAGGAGGAGGAAGGAGGAGCGATAGAGAAATACAGCCTAGTGGAAGGAGTGAGGTTTGGTAGAGAAAAGGACTAACAAGGAGAGAAGAGGAGAACCCTTTTGCCGCTACTGCGAGGAGCTATATTATAAATTGCTCCAAATGGCGGCGGCGGCGGCGGCGGTGGTGGTGGTGTGTGTTCTTTCTTGTTCGGCGGCGGAGATGATGGCGGAGAAAGGACAAGCACAAGGGTAGGAAGATAGGCAACAAAAACCACCTCGCCCTGCAGACGCCGCCACCGCGTGATGAATTCGCCGGCTGGGATTTTCGCTTATTTCGCCCGGGGATTAATAACACGCCCCTCCGGAATCCAATCACGTCTCCCCCTTCCTCGTCACTGCTGCTGCTAGTTCCCTCACGTCGCTGTTTTGATAACAATCTCCTCTGCTTTTTCTCCTCCTTCACTCGTGTAAAACTCACACTCACACGCACACATAGCAGCTTGACAGATGATATTGTGTTTTCTCTCTTTCTCTCTCTTCTCACTCCTATCGTATTTCTCTCTCACACGTGGTTTATATACCTTCATTGTTGTCGTCGTCGTTGTGATGTATAATAGTAATAGTAATAATAATAATCATAATAATAATAAGGCAAAAGGGGATAAATAAAAAAAAATACATAAACCTTGTTTCGAGGAAGTTTTGCACGCGTAAACAATAAAACGCGTTAAGAGACGAACAACTCGGATTTATATAGAATCACGCAGAGACGCGACCGCGAAAATTGCACACGGTTAGGTTCCCCTTTGACAACGAAAAAGCCGAATTTATCAATTGACACGAGTCGTTATAAAACGACTGTCGTCTTTACACGACGTGGTGGTTGGTGGTGGTGGTGGTGGTGGTGGTTTTTGTTATCGAACCGAAAACCCGAGGGGACCGCAGACATTTTAACGTCCCTCGCGTATACGATATCCATGCAGTGTGCGTGAATAATAATATATTTATTAAGAAGGGTGTATAATAATACCGTCTGCACACGTATAGCCCAGCCGCGTACAACGGCGGCCGGTGAAGGGACCGCGGGGTGGCTTTCATCGTCGGCCTTTTCATATCGAATACGTGCGAAAAGGAGAAAACGTATACGCGGCTGAGCGCGTACAGTATACCGAAGAACGCGAGAGCACTTTAGATCATTAACTTATAATTATGCGGTGTTGTACGGGTAGTGTTCACGAAATGTCAACACGAATATTATATGTTTTGTGCGTACGGTAAACGACTGCAGTGTATGCCATGTGCGTGCGTGCGTGCGTGCGCGTGCGTGTGCGTGCGTGTATGTGTGTAAGTGTGTGCGTGTGCGTGTGTTTGTACAAAAACACACGCGCACGTACCGTCGACAACTACACGGTGTTTTGTATAATTAATTCACACGCAACTGTGTAGCAAACGCCACCAGACGGCAGCGGCTACATTATTATACTACCGTTGACGGCGGCGGTCGGTTTCCGATTCCACTTGTCCTCGTTGTAATCGTATCAACAAATGTTTAATTAAACATCAAACGCGACCGCGGAGGCACGACCGCTCCGTTCGATTTTACTTGTTACGCGCGCGGCGGAGGCGGGTTCCACTAAATCGCACCGCTGACACGACGGCCGCAATAACACCGAAACGAAATCGTTCACCGTTTATGTACCGAGTCACCGACGACGTACCTATGATGCGAGAACAGAATCGCCTATCGTTGTTGTTCGTTAGTTTACACGCCAAGATTCGTTGTCGAACAAACCACGGTTTTGACCGATCACAAAAAAAAAAAAAAAAAAACAATTTTCAACTGCGACGGCTAAAAACGTGCTACGCAGTGGTACGGAATAGACTGATTTCATAATTACTCACCGCCGATAAACGATAACGTTAAAAATAAAACAACGAAAGCTAATCAATTTGCGAATTGCAAAGTAATAAATACGACGCTGCTGCGCATAACATTATAATAACATTGTGTACAATTTTTCTTTTAAACGAATAATCACTTTCGAGGAGTAAATAAAAATTAAAAATAAAAAACAGTGTCACGCACCGTTTTTATACACACACGCACGACCATATATGTGTATATGCAAACTGTATGTTATAGCTACGTATACGTGTTTAGTAACAGGTAAATAAACCGTATAATCGAATGGGCGTTATGTAGCGGAAAAAAATCAGTTTTGAAATCATTCGCCGTCAGAAAAAATACAAATACATTAAGTATGCGAGAAAAAAAATTAAATTTAACGCAAACTCCATTCGTGTTGACATTCAACCGTGGACGGGATTTCGCAGAGTTGGCAGGCGGCGACATAACGTCGTTTAAAACTTTTAAAATATCTTTGTTACGGACAATTCGCATAATATTTTCACACGTGGGTAACTGTACTACGATAAATTTGAAACAATAATAATAAGTAACGAATAGACTTAATAAATATTCACATGCGCTCAAGCGGAAAAGAACGAAAAAGCATTTCGTATACGGCGCGCACGACGGATTTTATAAACACAATCTCATCGTTACGATTTTAATCAAATCGTACGGTTTACCGGGCCCAAGATTGAATGTTTTGGCGAGCACGTCATAGGCGCCTAAGCACGTATTAATAGAACCGGCTTGTGTTTACCATAATATACATGGCACGAAGCGAAGAGGATACGGTTTACAGTTGTTGTTTTTGGAAAACACGATTTCTCGTCGGTGTACACGACCCATACAACCGTATATTATACGTGAGCGCGCACGTGTGTACGCGTGGGTCTACATGTATTTATTTATATAGTCCGGTGTGGTTTATCGATTTAGTTGCTAGGGAGGGCGCGAACGAACGCGAGAACGATGCCGGGGTTGGCTGTCATGGGGAGAAATCCCCCATGCAATAATGCCGCGGAGATTAGTCGTTGCGTATCTAAAATTAACCCTTTTGGCCGCCCTCATGTTAATGGTTCCGATTACAATAATTACGCACGCCCGGCCCTGTTTTAATCCCTGCATCCAATCTGTTATTAATTATAATAATATTGGCTGCGATCAAAATTCCCCTCGCCAACGTAGTGAAACATTCCTACGTCACCGCACAATACATAACATACATCAAGTTGCTCGTGTAACACAACACATCGTATCCCATACGAAAGCGAAGGCGAACAACAAGTATATATTTAATGTACACAGAAAAAAATCAAAAAAAAAAAAAAAAACGAACACTGAACATTTTGTAAGACGTGTGTGCCCAGAGATAAGAAAATATTTATGTAAATCACGCGACAATAGGGTTTATCTAAGTATCGGATCGGTCGAGTTTAATGCGGCGTGCACTTGTGTGTGTGTGTGTGTTGTGTCATACACAAAGTCTGTGCGACGAGGTTCACGTCTTTTTATACGTACAATAATGGTCTTGTACCAGTAAATCCGGTACGCAAACAAGCGATTTCCAGCCATGGGGAGCGATACGTCGAAAACCAAATAAACCACAACCCTACTATTTATACATGTACCTAACTATCCGAGTGTATAATACATGTATATCGTGCGTGCGTGTTTATCTCCCGATGAATATCTCTCATTGCACATTCGACTGCAAACGGTTATTTCTTTTAGTAGTACACACGAATGTACATAATATGTGCGACACGTGGTAAATAATGCAACGCGGAAAAAAATATCGCACTATCAGTGGAAGAGGGCCGTATATCAAAAATATTAAATTGTTCGGGAGTGCATTTCTAATGTTTGATAATTTATAGTGGATTTGTAATTTTCTTCTGCTAAATATCAATACGACTAACCAGACCAGAAATGTTCTTATATTATTGTTATCAACGAATATAATTAAAAGGCCACATTTCGTGTTCCGGCTTTATTGTTTTCAGCTACCTTTTGATCTGCCTTAGTGCAATAAGTTTATTTGTATAACTAACGATTTAAAAATATAATTACATAGATCGCGCCACTCTATAAAAAAAAGAAGAAAAAATACGAATTCAGAGATACAAAAAACGTAAATTTAAAATTTTTTGATATACGGCCCTCTTGCACTGATAATGCGATGTATCTTCAACGTGTTTTACGTTACACATGTATTGAAATATAAAATAAACGTTTATGTGTTAAGATGGAAACATTTTTTAACAACAATAGTTTTTTTAAATGTTACAATTATTATTTGGATTTGGATACTCTGAATCAACAAGAGAAAATGTTATCGAAAAATGCACAATTATTTTGAGAATTTTGCAGATTCAAACGTTTACCGCTGTTGTTGCTGGTATTCGGTAAAAAAAAAACCCATTAATATATACATATAATTATACGCTCAGTGTACTGTTGTAACTTGTAATCAGCGTTTTCGGTACCTACACATAATCTGTGTAATTTTTAAACAAAGAAACTACAATGATAAAAACGAATTATGGGTGTGTGTGTCCGTATATATATATATATATATATATGTACACACACACTTAATTAGATAATTAACAATGGATTTTCATGGTATAGAATTCACTAAATTTACTGGGTTAATAATGAATTCTCTATCGTTATTACACACAGTTTCGTGACACACAATTGTTATTGATAAAAAAAATTGAATAAAAAAATATCACAACAAATTTCGAATTTAACCAACATGACGTGCAATGATGAAAAAATATGTATAAATCGCGAAAAAGAAACAAAACAAAAATGATTCACAGCAAACGTAATAAATAACATAATAATGCGTGTTGCGCTAAATATGTTTCTTATGTGACCAATGCTACGGGTAGAATAATGGCAATCGAAAAGCCGCATTAAGACTTGACGGGAGGATCTATCTTATTATGGTAGTCGTCGTCACGAATTAACAGAGCGTCGTCGTGAAAATGGGCACCGAACGCGAAGTGGCTGCAGAGCACACAACGTTTTCACGTCATCCTCTCCGCCGGTCAACATGGCTCTTACGCACGACAACTACATCACACAGTTAAGGCCATCATCACGGGAGAATGATTTTTCAGTCGCTTTTATCGAAACGTCACATCGTACTACTAACATCATCATTGATGTTCATATTTATATTTATCGCATTTCAATTTCAAACGATTACAATTCACCAGGATTTCACATTCCTCTCTATTCAACCAAATACGCAAGCACATAAAAATGTCAGTAACAAAAAAAAAGTCATGAAGGATTTTTTTTTATTACAATGTCGACCTCGTAATCCGTTCCTCCGAAGTCTTGTTTTATACCATTATTTGATTTTTTCCACCCTATACCCACATCAACTATATACGAGGGTATTTTATACATATACACACATACACACATACATACAAACATAAAGCCTGTGGGGTTATTCCCTAGAAAGGGCCGACTGGTTGATGAAACGGACCGGAAAATAACGTTACCGCATCGGCTGTACAGCTCTTCCTCCCTACTTTATCGTTACGCCCTTAAACGAGTTTACCCTCTTGTTACACCGCTCTGCCAATCGAAGGTCTGTCTGAGTGTGTATATATATACATTATACATCTGACACGGCGAAAGCAAAAAAGAAAAGGAAGGAAAAAGAAATAACCTCGATTTTTCCACGTTTTTCATCCCCACGGGGGGTCGTCGTCGTCGAAAAAGGCCGTCTAAAATGAAACGGATAGTTGGCAAGAAGATGTATCTCGAGCGGAAAAAAAAACTAATCCCCGATTACGGTGGATTTCCACGGATTTTCCCTCTCGCATTTTTTTTCATCCCAAGTTTCTACATAAATAAATATACGATACGACGACGATATGTTTTGTAGTACATATTACATCCAATACCGAATTATGCAGATTTACCATCGCTGTTTTTTAATTCACAATATCCCATACGAATATTATAAATACATAAAAATGCATATGTGTATATGCGAATAAGTGTCGGAAGTTGTATGAACAAATACGCATTCATAGTGTAATTGGAAACTAGTTCACAAATCCCTTCACAAAAATTATATTGGTGAACACGAATTAGATTACGATTTATAATATCCGATAAATTCGAACAGTCGAACGGACGGGGGCGCAAAAAAAAAAAAATAATAATAATAATAATAATAATAAACGGTGCATACTACGCCTATTATATTTTATATAGGTTTATTATATGTACACGCCGAGGAATTAATAACACTGTTGAAAATCACGGACGGTCACGCCGAAAACAGCCACTGTAGGGGTGTGGAATCGGAATAATAATAATAATACGCTATGCAGCAGCAGTAATATGTATGGTATAGTATTCGCGACCCGTATATGTGTATATACATATTAGCATTGACTGTGGGTTCTTTTGTAAGAGGAAATAGAGGGTAAAAGCGGGGCCGATCCCTATCGAATTTGACACGCATTTAAATTTGTGGAGAGTGCGGCCAGATGACATATACATATGGATGAGGTTCGTTCCGATATTACACACGCAGGGCGTCGGCTGCGTACACATGCCGCCGTCGGCCAACCCTTATTTAGCAGCGGGAGAGGGTACACAACCCCTAGTCTCTACACACTGTTTGTTTGACGGCGAAGGGAAGCTACACTCATATATATATATATATATATATATATATACACACACATACAAGAGGGAGAGGACGAAAGCGACCGGAGACGACAACCCCATCGCAGAGTAGCAGCAACCGAAGTAACAAGGAGTCCCTTCATTAAGTGCTATCCTGGGTGCATTAATTTAATTTCAACCCCCTTGCTGCTGCCCGGATGGGAAATTTGTTATGGTTGGCGGCTCAAAGATTTATCCCTGGAAAGTGGCTGGTGAATGCGGCGGCGGTGACAACGGCAAAACCAGTAGATTACAACAGGCGAAAATCTCACACGCTTTACTTTTACAACATCACATAAACGCGTGTCTTGCCTTTAGGTATATAACGATTTATTTAATGATACTAATATTGCTACTCACGTGTCTTTCTTCGGCTGAACTCATTCCTGAAATCATAAAAAAATAAATTAACAATGAATTAACGATTACCATATATATTTTATAATATCTATAATTACGTATATGACATAACTAAATCAATAACTTTTACATAAGCGCCAGATAGAGACGAAACGGGTTGGGGATTTATGTTATGGTATTGTGTTAGAGGTACATACGAAAAAAAAAATGTAAAAAATTTACAATATATCGAAACAATAATCGATAATAACGATGTGTTCAAGCTGTATGGAAAGGGAGACGGCGTCGAGAGAAAATTACTACAACAATGTTCCAGCCGATCGATAACAATGCGTAACTGTACACTATTAAATCGTGTCAAATCGGGAATTTTTATTATAATTTCGAATTCGGGTGAAACATGTGTGAAAGAAAATGCGACAGCGGTAACCTTGACCTGAAAATACGTAAAAAAAAAAAAAAATTTTTGCGCTCTTAACGCGTTTGATACAGAAAATTTATGTTTTGTGTCCGTTGTACTGTTGTTATTATTATTATTATTATTATGTACTAAGGCCGTCGCGCGCATAGAACACACGGCCGTACATGACCCCGTGCGAGTGAGACAACAACCGATTTATTGCGCACACACATTATATGTATACACGTACGGCCCCGTATACAAATACGCGTGTGCCGCGGCGTATACGTTACCCGACGGGGACACGGACCGCCGCCCGTCGATTACGGATAAGTGGATTGGAAAAAAGGAATAAAGTGGAGGGATACGTAACAATGGTCCGGCCAATCTATATATATACAATGTATTATGCACGTACAAACCAACATCAGCTACTACCGAGTAACTTTATTTCGAGTGGTATATACATATATACGAGTATGTATATATATATATATATATACATAAAACAAGCTCGTGTGTACGAAGAGAGAGGTGACGGCGGAGCGTAAAGGGATTCTGCGGAAATTATTAAAACTCTTTTTCACAGTACAGACCACTCGAGAGAACAACGTAACAGCAGAACACCCTCACTAGTCGATTTATATATATATATATATTATAATATTGCAGCGCGTGCGAGGAGTGCCCACTCCATCTGTACACACTCATCTTGTCGACGTGGCCCTTTGACGACGACTACGACGAATATCAGTCTCGAGCACATGGGTACACATTAGCATATTAACACTTCAAGAACGGTCATTTTTTTTTTTTTTTTTTTTTTAATACATATTTAATTTTTTTTTTCCACTCTCCGTAAAACGAGAAGAGAATATATTCTCTGTTGCTGCGGAGCATAAGCCGTATACTGAATATATTATAACTACACACAATGCGGCCGCCGCCGCCGCCGCCACGTCAAGGGACGTGCATGTTATCTCAGCGGGTCGTCTACCCATATACATATGTATAATATTATATCGTTGTCGGCGGTATGTTATCCAAGCGCGTAGTTAAAATGTATGCGTGTGCGAATGAAAATGTTCTCCGCAGTGTACACGTAACGTTATAAATAAAATTAAAAAAAAAAAAAAATCTGTAGACAAACAATATATTCGTGTTGGCTTACCGATGGCCGACGACGGTTTATCCGAATCGGCACCCCTGTGCAAATCGTTCGGTTTGGAACCCAACATGGCCAACGGATGAGACGAGGAACCGGCGGCTCCAGCTAGCCCCAGCAGGCTGGCTGCCGCGGTCACCGGCGGTCCCGGAAGTCCGGGATGAGGCATCATCGGAATCGGAGGCGCGTGGCCCGCGTGCGGTAACTGCTGCGCGTGCATTTGTTGCTGCAACAAAAACGAACGTAATAAACATTTAATCGGACGCGTCACGTGCACGCTCTGAGCATGTGTACGTAGGTGGTGGTGGGCCTTTATTTTTAATTTCATGCAGAAATGATGAAAAAAAAAATTGTTTTTTTTTTTCCACAAAGAATATTATATAATTGTATAGTTAATTTAATTGTTGTACTTTATAAAGGGGCCATCAAAACGTTCATTGGGAGACGGAAGAAGAAACGATAAAATATTTGTATAACTGGCATAGTTATTTTACACGGAGGTTTTTCTCGAAACTATACGCATATATGTGTACATATATGTATATATATTCCGCACATAGAGATGGTGTAATGGGTATAGATTTATAAAGCTGAATGTCATTCTTACCAATAATCTGGGCAGATCTGGACGTTGTTGCTAAAAAAAAAAAATAAAAAAAAACGACATGTAATAAACGTTTTGGGCCTATATATAATACTTAAATAGATAACTATATACATAAATATATCCACCCCCGCGTGATAAATAAGGGTGTTATATAATATATATATATATATATAATTAAATGTATTAAATATTGAACTAACAAATAAATCGAACACAGTTGGGGACACGCGGTAAGCAAATTGTTTTAATTTAGCCGGCGGTTTTAATCGAATTCTGACGTAGCCTGCTGTTTTTCCAGCATAGTCTCATCCGAATAAATCCACTAGTACGCATCCCGATTGTAAAGTATGTAAAAAGTGAAAAAAGACTCAAGTTTGCCGTTCAAATACGTTTTTAATGGGCATTAATACGTGCAGTAATAGTTGTTTTTACAAAACGGCTGTAAGCGACGTCTTTAGCGCCATGTACTCTTCAAAAACTGTATAGTCCACAACGACAAAGGTGGTGTAAATATATTCCCCCTAAAGAAACTGCTTTATTCAAACACTTAAAAAAAACCACTCAAGTGACGTTAACGCCAGAGGGAATTTTCTTTTTGAAAGCGAATGCACAAAACCTTTTCACGCAGCCTCCCTCCATCAATATATACACAACGGAAGTCTTTTGACGAATACAAGAAACAGCGGCAGTGGCGACAGCAGCCTAATAACAATGGACTTGACTGTGTGAACTTATTTTTTTTCATCAAAGCGCACACACGAGAAGAATGAAAAAAAAGAAAAAACCGATTTCTATTTTTTTTTTTTTTTTTTAATGAAATAAACGTTTATAGCTCTCTGTAATGTAAGCTCTCCGGGATTAGGAACTTAATATTATTTCCGGCGGTTATTCGAAAAATAAAATAAAATAACAGAGGCAGAATTCATAGACAAATAAAAATAACAACTAAAAACGAAATTAGTAGTCTTGTGTAGAAAAATGAATTGATAAAGAAGAGAAAAAATGTAAATATGAATTATCAAATGTTTACGGATGTTTTTAATACTTGTTCAACATAATCGGTGTCGCGGCTGATATACGCGAAGTTTATATTATAAAGCATACATATTACACATGAGATTTATTTAAGAAGTTTAAGTCTGAATTCTTTTTCACGCTAAAAATTAAACAGGCACAGAAAACGAAAATATTCAATCGATATTAAGTGTGTGTACATGTACGACTATTTATAAGACGACGAATATTTACGTTTACACGTAATAATATTCTCGATAAGAACATATTATGTACTAAATATTTAGTAGACGTACGAAAATCGTCGATCACACAACTATAATACACGCATGTATGCACACATTCGTACACAAATTGTGTTAGTATAAGTATTTGCGGTGCAGTTCGTCGTTTGATTTATGCAAGGGACGCGATAAATGCGGCCACGTGACTGTAAAAAGTCCTTTTAACGCTCACATATATATAAGTACCGGGAAAGAAAATGAGTGTTGAAAAATAGAGACAAGGATACCACCAATACCAACCCATTCGTCGCGATAACGGTTCTATCAAGAGAAAGAATTCCGAGAATGAGAGAGAGGGAGAGAAAAGGAGAAAAAGCCTAAAGGGCGGTTAGACGTAACGACTGAGAATAATACGCACGCAATGCATACAGTCTGCGTTAGTATAAAAGTATAAAAAGTAAGAGGTTTTCGTTTTTAATAACTTGTAATAATCTTTTATCCTTCCGAACAATAATTATTGTTGTACGTCGAGAGCGCCGCAGAGGTTCAGCAGAAGTACTATATAGTAGTAGCGGTAGTGTACACCGTAATAGCAGTATACATTACAATAATGGTGTGCGGTAAAACTTAGCAACCCTCTTCGGAAGGCCACGCGTGAAAGTATAAACGCACGTGCACTTATATATATTATGTGTGTATATACCATATATATGTATAAGAAAATGGGACCGGAAGTTACGTACACGCGTGTGTGTGTGTTTGTGTATATATGTGTTTAGGGAAAGACTGCGTTGCGGTGCGAAGGGTAAGGAGCGGTGGCAGGACGATAATAATTACCGGCTGCCGACTAACGAAGTGCGTTGAGAAAAACCGCACGTCCGGAACATTTGTAGAGTATAGCAAGCGGTGGCGGGCGGACGGACGGGTGGGGTAGTAGTGTAAAAGAGGGCCGAGAGCGCAATTAGCGGAAGCTTCTCTCCGTCGGCAGAAGGGCCGTCGTCATTCATAACCACCGCCACCGCCGCCAGTCCTCGACCCAACCTCTGAACGTCCTCTCCGCCAAGTAGACTCGGCCACTACCGCCATCGTCATTATTAAACGTTGAGAGAGGCTCCTTTTCCGGACAGACGCAACGCGGTGGATGGAACATTAATCGAAAATATCTCTCTTGCCTCTCTCTACTACCTCCTCCCAAACTCCTCAACCCTCCCACCCCCCACGCGTACCGTATACCTGGTAGAGTAAACACGATAATAACTATGATCCGCACGCAGCCCTCCGTGACTAAACTATCGCCGGAATATTCTCGCGTGTAATTGATATGCATCATCGTGAGATGTGTGAATTCGGCTCGAGGCTGCATCACGTATTTATTACTGTTAATCATTATTATTATTCTTTAAGTTTTTCTACGGTTTTTATAATCCTTTAAAATCTTATCGAAAATTAATTACGCCCACCTCGGTAAAATCGCGTCGTGGAAAACAACAACCGAAACAAATCAAACCGCAAAAAATAATAATACACTACTAATAATAATGATGGTGTTGTGGAAGAGAAAGAAAAAAACCGACTCGGAGCACATAGTACCTCGAAATTATACACATCGAAGAGTGAGAGCAGGGCGGTGAAGGGTAAAATCGACAGACTCACGTTCTTCGGGACAATATTGAACCCGAGCTCGTTACACACGCACGTCTCCTCCATGACGATCTCGCACTTCCTCCTCGTCCTCTTAGTCGTCCTCAACTCCTACGCCAGTCGACTAACTCGCACCAGCCATCCAACACACGGCGATGACGACGTTTTATTCGCGACGCGCCTCTAAAATAGGTTCATACAATATTCAACGTGCGTTACTGCCTGCACGTCCTGAACTTCCGACGCGAACGTGACCGGACTGACGAATATGCGATTTCGGTGTGACTTTGGTCTCGTCGTCGTCGTCGTCGTCATCGTTGCCGCCGCACAGGGACACAACCGCAGGCGATATATATTTTTCTAAAAACCAACAACTATTCCTGCTGCTATACTATTGTGCACGGCGCTGTAGCCACCGCCGCTTAATTGCTTTTGGGACTACGCGACGCGTATAAATATACAAGAAAAGAACCACTATAAGTGTGGGTTAGAGAGGGATGGAAAGAGTAGAGTGAGAAGAGAGGGATGATGGATAGAGAGAGATAGATAGATAGAGAGAGAGAGAGAGAGAAATGAGACAAGAAATCGAAATGATTTTTCTTTATTCGTTTTTATGACCCAACACACATAAAAACGACCAATACGTTATTATTGTTATTGTATCTTACGATATACTATTATTCTTACCCCTATGATGGCGTTAAGTTCGGTCATGGTCACTTGTTTCGCTCTTTCCACCGCCGTCGCTACTTGCTGCTGGTGCTGTAACAATATACAAACACGAACACTATTATATATCAAGCACGAACGTCATGTATATGTCACATAATAATATGTGTATACGAAACAATAAGAGTATAAATACAAAAAAATATGTATTGTATTAATTTTAGAATCACTCACCTCTTGCGAAAGAAAAGGCATTATCTGCGCGATGATGGCGTTCAAACGCTTTGCAATTTCCGTCTAGACAAAAAAAAAAACGAAGAAAAAATCAATAATATTGTCGTTACACATTGATGTACGGTACATATTTATGTATGTAAACATAAAAAAAAACTAGTGCAGTATAACGAGATTTCCAACAGTGCCGTTCGCTCGTTCCCGCAACACGTCGTTAACGACATTACGCGCGGGAAATTAATTAGAGCTACGGGGGGGAGGTAGGGGTGTGTACGGTTTTACGACCGTTTTTATTTTCAATATGTAATGCGCGTGCACCGACGAGGGGACAGGGATGACGACAAACAGCCCGTTTATATATAATACCCACGGAATTATAATACATATTATATATACGCCAACTGCTACTACTATATACACTGCAGTGGCGTCGTTGTCGGGGTGAAACGGTTTCGTGTTATCGCCCTCCAGTATTGTACGCGCGCACGTGTGTGTGTGTGTGTGTGTGTGTGTTTGTCTGCTCGCGTGAGCGACCCTCTTTTTGCCGCTCTCGGTTGCCGCCACCCTCGTCGCCGCCACCGCCACTGGTAGTGTAACATCGGCATCGGTGTTCGGTGAGGGGAAAACGGAAAACCGTCAAGGCTCGAGTGTTTCGCGGGTATAATGTTTTCCTTCGGGCATTGCCACTCGACACGAGTGGTGCGGCACAGCAACCGCCCCTGCACACAGTACGCGCAAACGACCCTTGTAATATGTGCCAACTCTCCGAGTTTTAATAGCTATAGGAGGAGGAACCCCACCCCGGTTATATAAATAAGCCGCTTCTCGGTCCGTACTCCTTTTGTTAGAAGGGCTTTATATATATTTTCCCCTATTTTTACTCGCTACACTACTCTTCCTCTCCCCTCTCTCTATTCCTCGATCGTTCTTTTTCCCCAATTCTTGTCATCCCTTTATTTCTTTTATATTTCTTCGACTTCTACTCTCCTATTACCGCTCGTAAAATTTACACGCCATATATCCAATGAACACATCCTATACACACACACATACATACATACATACAAATATATGTACTTTCTGCCTTAAAACCTCTCCAATCGGTTGTTGCCAAAATGCATCGCATAAATACGCGTGTATCTCGTTAACACTTGAGTGGTATACGCAAAGTCGTACTTATGTTTAATACGTATTATTGTTGTCTTACTGTACATACAGTTATATACAATCAATCGACATATCAACTTTTCCACACACAAACACATTTTAAACAAATGTGGTAACAACGTAGCGGTCAGAACATATCCACGGTTAAAACTATCTAAGATCCTGTCACTGTAATTGTCGCAGTAATAGTATAGTTAAATATTTCAATGCAATGTGGTAGTATGTAACGTTTAACGACTAAATACGCTTAATTGCAGGCCACTGCTGCAGGTGTTCTTGCTGTTGTCACATTGAGAAATCACCCCGTACCTCACTCTCTCTCTCTCTTTCTCTGTTCCTCACTCTTATGTGTTGTGCTTTTTTTCATCGTTATTCTTTTTTCCCTTCCCATCTGTACTTAAAACTGTAGCACGGAGGATAAAATGGATTTTCGACGACGGGAAATATACCTCGGGGCACTTATTGTTATTATTATACGGGAGTGCGTTGCAATATTTCGAGGACGGCCAAGTTAATCGGGTACTCGTTAAAAAACCGGAGGGGTTGAAAAGATTACGCTGTTGAAAAAAAAAACTAGGGTGGAAAACAGTCCGGGCGATTACTTCGCCGAAATGAATTTACAGCGGATGACAGCAGGGGTAGAGTGAAAAAAAAAATAAGAGAGAAATCCTCCTCTCTTTTATTATATATATAGTAGATCTCAACCCCTGTGTATTCACTGCCACCGTTGCTCACCCTCGGCGTTTTGTACAAAACGAAATATTAATTTGGTAGGATGACGGTTTTAACGACCCTTTTCCAGAAATTTGCAGTCGTAACGAGATTAAAAAAAACACGAGCTAACGGTGGAAGGGAATGAAATGTTTGAGATTTCTCAACATTATTACGCAACACAAAGTGGAAAGATGAAATAAATATTAAAATTAAAAAAACTTGCCTGTTTATGCATTTCTACGTTAAGGCCGTATGACATCTCGTAGTACTGTAAATACAAAAAAAAATCGATTAGCACACAGATACACTTGATGGCATATATAATAAATTCAAATTGTTATAACGAGTCTACTCTCAAAGTACCGTAAAACCGATTGAAAAATAAACAAAAGAATATTTTCTTGTGATAAACATTATACGTTAATACTAATGATTATTATACTTAAAGAGTATATAATGAATAATATTGAAAAAATTATTTCAATATTAAAAAAAAAACGAAAAAGTTCCATTTGATTTGTGCAAATAAAATACGGCGATGAAAATGTGGTAAAACTTTTTTAAACTAGCGAAGTAAAACTCCATCATTATTATAAAAATATATAAATGAAACTCGAAATCTTAGAACTTATAAAACGCTTCGTTTTAAAACCAATCGATTCGGTTATTCGATGAATGAACATATTACGCTCCTCAAATGGTAAATATCTAGTACTTCAAACAAAATTTTTTCGATTTCTACACGAAGACTAGATTGCTTATTGACTTGACGGTATTGAGTGGGTAAACACGTTATTTCTGTTCTACCTACTTTTACGCACCATATCAAGTGTTAATTGATATATTTAAAAATGCATATTATACATGCAACAAAAAACAAAACATGCAAAAGCCAGCTGAAAGCTACGCCTACGAAACAAAAGCTGTTGGTTAACACTATTAGTCCTATACTCACCATAACGTAATGCCTTTGCATTTCTGTTTTTTCTTGAACGATTTTTTCGACTTCCATTTTTGTACTGTTTTGACGGCGAGGGACAAACAAAATCAAACCCAAAAAATAAACAAGCAATGTTAGTATAATAAAAAAAAAAAAAAATTAAAAAAATGTATATTAAATAAAACAAAAATTAAACAATACGGACAAAACAAATATAAGGGACGCGATTTATGTTTGGATGTAAATGTCGTATACATAGTCCAGCGATATTTTATCCTACATACTTTTGAGTCGATTTAAACAAATTTAGGTCAAAATATCTCATACAGAGATTCTTATTATTATCTATCATTATACTTTTAACATAGAGCATAACGATGTTTATGGATATTTGTTAGTAATTGTGTCGCAAAGTGCATTACGTATACGGTGTTTTTAATGTTTTCACTATATAATGTTTATCGGACATACCTATATTATATTACACACACATAATATGTAAGTGAGCAAAACGCAATGGTATTATTATTATATTATTATTATTATTATTATTATTATTATTATTATTATTATTATTATTATTATTATTATTATTATTATTATTATTATTATTATTATTATTATTATTGTTATTATTATTATTATTATTATTATTGATATTATTGAACACAACAACAGTAATGTATTTTAGATACGTGACACAAATGTAAAAAAAATAATAAATGTGTAACACAAAAATCATACGCATCAACTCAACAGTAGTGATAACAAAAAATATACAAGTAAAATTATGATTAGAGCATTGTAGATATCTTTTGTGTATTAAAAATGAAGTAGAGAAAAACGACTAGTTTAATGTATGTACAGTATACACAAATGTACGTACATAAATATAAATAAATATATGTAATATATGTACTAAAACCGCGTTGGCAAGAACATTTCTAGGGACTTTGCAGGCATTAAGGGGTTGTTAATGCCGACGGCAATATCAATGGCTCTTAAGCATTGCATACAGCAGTTGTTCATGCTACATAATTAATTGTCCGGGACCTTCACGCTCACTCACCATTACGTAATGCCTTTGTATTTCGATTTTCTCGCTGGCCAATTTTTCGCATTCCATTTTCAGGCTGAAAACCAAACCGTACGTGATACATATACGTATGCAATTCGATTGTCCGTACGTACGAACGCCGATGGAAATATACATGTACACGCGGGGTACAAGCGATTTGCAGCATTATAATTATTATACCGTTTGGACCGACAAATATAATTTATCGATCGTTTCTTACATAGATTAATTTTTTATTATATTAATTAATTAATAGAATACCTCGATTGTACGATTATACAAAAATGCACGAGATATTATTTCGTTTACGGAACATTTTGAAATGCGTTGGGGTTTTTTTTTTATTTTTTTTTTTTGTAAATAAAACTGTTTTTTTTTTTACATGTTTGGTATGAAATATTATTACTGTTTACGTCCTTTATCGGTACGTAGAAATTGGTGCTTACGTGTGATATTGGGCTTGAAGGAAATTGAATTCTTCCTTGATCCGGTCGCACGATTCACCAATGGTAAACTTGAACGGCTGCCCCGGCTGCGGTGGGCCCTAAGCACGAAGGAAAAAAATAAATGAATAAATACATTAGGATATCATAATCTACATAATACGTAGGCGGCGGAGTGTGCGCGCGTGATTATATTGGATTTCATAAGATGCAATTGCGTGTATTACGTGTGTGAACGGGAGAATCGGGAGAAAGAGAGAGGAAAAAAATTTGGAAAATCATTCGACACGGAAATTACTGGTGGCGGTAATACACGTACATAAGGCTAAACGGTCCAATAACCCCTTAAACGAGTATATACGTATAGTGGTAGTGGTGTACACGACAATATACTACATATCGGTAGAGGCGTATACGCGTGGAAGGATAAACACTTTTTTAGATTTTCCGCTGTACAGTTACATAAAAGCTACGTTTTTACGACTTGCTCTACGGGTTACGAATAATAATGACGGCGGTGAAATGCGCTGCGCTGCGACTGGTTATACACGATTATGCGCAGACAGAAGCATTTTTTTTTTTTTTTTTTTTTTTTTTATTCCTTATCGCCACTAGTTATAAAGGCACAATTTATAGAGAGGTACATTACAATATACATATTATTTTATTGCATGATATATTCCAGTGGGCATTGTATAAACATTTATATACATGTAAATGTAGATGTGTATCGGACGCGTGCGAGCCTGGTTTACAATACGATCAAAAACAACAACAATTATTTTATCCAAATATAACATTTTAATAACAACAACTCGACATTGGTAACAATTAAATACTACAATATTGTATACACGTTTATACACGATATTTAATAATATATATATATCATATGCATAAATGTGTTATTTAAATATACAATACCAATAACAACAAGAAACCGGAAGTTACACCGCCAATTTTGATAAGAGACTACCCTAAATGAAAATAACATAGAACAGTACAAATATATATATATGTATATATATATATATGTATACCCATTACAACAAATAGTAAAAAAAAAAAAAAAATCATTACAAATGAGCACTTAAAATTATCACAGAACAAATATAAGTTATACAAGAAGTAACAACGATTTATATACATGTACCACGTGCGTACATGGGAATACGACGAGTAGTAGATGAGAAGTGATGTTGTGAAATGGTGGAGGAAGTAATACAGAGAAGTAGAGCGGTAGTAGCAACCGTAACAGGTTGTTGCTGCAGGGATGGTAGCCGCCGAAACGAACAAGAGGACAAGGGAGAAATAAAGAAGTCGATGACTAGAAGTAGAAAATGAAGGAAAGCTTGTAGGAAACGATTAGTGGACCGAAGAACCCGATAACCTTCACCGTATTCATAAAGTCAATACCAAATGTAGCGGGGGAATGAGCGCCGTCGTCGTCGTCGTCGTCGTCGTGTGATTTAACGTCGTCGTCGTCGCCGTCGCCGTCGTCGTCGTTATCGTCATCATTTTAATCATTTTTGTATACATATAGTGGTAATGCACCTGAGATGACGACGGTCATCGTCTTCGGGCGGACCACGGGGTGTTCTTAGACGGTGTGTTTGTGGTGGTGTTTCGAGTGACCGGCGTGGTGATGACCGTGAGCGGCTTTGCCGTGGTGCTGGTGAGCGTGTTCAGCACTACCGCCGTGCTTGTGTCCGTGACCGAACTTACCGCCGTGGTGATGCTTATGCTCGGCGCTTCCGTGGTGGTGGTGTCCATGTCCGAACTTGCCACCGTGATGGTGTCCGTGTCCGAATTCACCGCCGTGGTGATGCTTATGCTCGGCGCTTCCGTGGTGGTGATGTCCGTGTCCGAACTTGCCGCCGTGATGGTGTCCGTGTCCGAATTCACCGCCGTGGTGATGTTTGTGTTCCGCGCTACCATGGTGCTTGTGGCCGTGTCCGAACTCTCCGCCGTGGTGGTGCTTGTGGTCAGCGCTTCCGTGGTGATGGTGCTTGTGATCGGCGCTGCCGTGGTGATGATGTCCGTGTCCGAACTTGCCGCCGTGGTGGTGCTTATGCGCGGCGCTTCCGTGGTGCTCGTGTCCGTGTCCGAACTTGCCGCCGTGATGGTGTCCATGTCCGAATTCTCCACCGTGGTGATGTTTGTGCTCGGCGCTTCCGTGGTGGTGGTGTCCGTGACCGAATTCTCCGCCGTGGTGATGACCGTGCCCGAAGTCTCCACCGTGGTGATGTTTGTGTTCCGCGCTACCGTGGTGCTTGTGCCCGTGTCCGAATTCTCCGCCGTGGTGGTGCTTGTGGTC